AGAGTGGACCCAGGTGCCCAAGTGTCCCCAAAGAGGGGACCCGGGCGTCCGGGTGCCCCCAAAGAGGGGACCCAGGCGTCCACCCCGCCCCATAGAAAAGACCCAGGCCTGCGGGCACCCTATAGAAGGTGCCCCGGTGCCCAAGGGACCCCAAATAGGGGTGGGCGACCCCGTAGAGTGGACCCAGGCGTCTGGGCAGCCCCATAGAGAGGACCCAGGTGTCCGAGTGTCCCCAAAGAGGGGACCCGGGCGTCCGGGTGACCCCAAAGAGGGGACCCAGGCATCCGGGCCCCCCCATCCCCACTGATCCCCCATATCCCCGCAGGTGGGCGCCGCGGGGATGGCTCCGGTCGTGGAGGTGTCGGACGCCGGGCATTGCCGTTCGTTATTGGTGGAGTTAAACGAGCAACGGTTGAGGGGCCAATTCTGTGACGTCACCATCATCGCCGAGGACACCAAATTCCGAGCCCATAAAAACGTCTTGGCCGCATCCAGCCCTTTCTTCAAACAAGCTTTGGCCGAAGAACCCACCTGCCCAACCCCCGCCCAAGTTTTGGAGCTTCCCGGTGTCCAAGCCGGCGTCTTCTCCGACGTCCTCAACTTCATCTACAACTCCCGCTTGGCCGTCCCGTCGCAGGCAGCTGCCCGCGAGTTGGGCGCCGTTGGCCGACGGTTGGGTATCTCTTGCCTCCAAGGGTTGGAAGTGGGGACCCCCAAGGAGATGAACGGATCTTGGACCCCCCCGGTGACGGGGGATCCCCGCTCACCCGCCGCCCCGGTTGATTTAACCTGCCCGCCGCGATCAAGCGATACGCCGACGGTTGCCGAACCGGTGACGGCGTCGCCGTCGTCGGCGTCGGCGTCAGCGTTGCGTTGCGGGTTGTGCGGTCGAGGGTTCAGCACGGCGGCGGCGTTGGGGTTACACGCCAAGCTTCACCGCGGGCGCCGGGGTTTGGCGTGCCGGCATTGCGGCAAGAGCTTCATCCACGTCAAGAGGTTGCAAACCCACGAGGTCCTCTGCAAGGACGGCAATCGCGACGGTGACGCCGTCACCACCAACGCCGCCACGCCGACGCCGAAACAAGGCAAGAAGGCGTTGCTGTTGCGTCACCGGGCGTTGGAGTTGATCCCCGAGCAGGAACCGGTGGTGAAGGTGGTGGACGGGCACGTGGTTTACCTGTGCGGGGTTTGCCAGCGCTCCTACATGACGCTCTCCAGCCTCAAGCGTCACGCCAACGTCCACTCCTGGCGACGCAAGTACCCTTGCCGTTATTGCGACAAGGTCTTCGCTTTGGCCGAATATCGCACCAAACACGAGGTCTGGCACACCGGCGAACGCCGTTACCAGTGTATCTTCTGTTGGGAGACCTTCGTCACCTACTACAACCTCAAGACCCACCAGAAAGCCTTTCACGGCATCAACCCGGGGCTCATCTCCTCCGAGAAGACGCCCAACGGCGGCTACAAGCCCAAACTCAACGCCCTCAAGCTCTACCGGCTCTTGCCCATGCGGGCGCACAAGCGACCCTACAAGACCTACAGTCAAGGTTTGGTGGCCGACGGGCTCCTCTTGCCGACGGCCAATCCGGTAGAGCCG